AATGGAGAAAAAGTTGCTTGATGGTGTTGCTACTTAAAACTCTTGTTCCATCATTGTTTAGGATAAAGACAAAGGTAAGCTTTACAGTAAGTGTGATACTGTTAGAGTGGATGGAGCGTTCTATTTTGTACGCGCTCGATAAAAATGTGCATAGCATATTGAGCGCTCGAGATTTAGGTTGTCAATAGTGTGTTACTTGTTCTCTGTTTCCTCTAGACATCAAGCCAACTAAGGAAGAGCCAGTTACCATTCCAGTTATGGTGTGTTCCTTCTTAGCCTCTGAGAACAAAGGTACACTATGGAGCGCTTACAAAACAGATTTTCCTTCTATTTCTACTTGTTAGGACATGGTGCCACAGACCTAGAAAAGCAAAGACAAAACTTTTAAAACGGTTTCTTAAATTCATATTGAAAAGATTATATTCATCATGATAATTATTGTCAAGATATAATATTTGCAGGTAAAGAATGTTATGAATGATCCCTCAACATCATAAAAGATTTGAGAATATGTTAGATATTTTGTCTTCATTCCTTGTAGCACAGTACATCACTTGTTGTGGTAAGAGTTTGTGTCTACACTATCTTAGTAGTGTAGCATAGTGTCCTTTACTGTTATTCAGTTGTATTGCTTGATGTGTTAGGAGTATCTAATTGTATACAAGAAATTTTATTATGTGTATTGTGCACTTATTATTAGAATATCTTACCTTAATTGTGCAGCCTTTACTGTTATTCAGTTGTGTTGCTTCTTGTGTTAGTAATATCTAATCAGGGTTGAGAAAAAATCAGATTTTTATCAAAAAAATCACAAAATCAGATATTTTTGATTTAAATCAGATTTTTAGATTTAAATCAGATTTTTTTTATCACTAATAACTTAAATGAATGTTAATAATAAAAGAGAAATAAATTATGTAAAGGAATGCTCATGTGTCTAGAAGTTTGTAAAACAAACCAGTTTTGCAGTCTTTTCTGAGCCTAGACGATGTTATACTATGCTATATACAATGCACAACCAGGCATAGTAAAATAGATTATTGCACAACCAGGTATATGGTGCAATGATCAATGCAAAAATTTTTTTCAACTGACAATTAGAAGTTGTGTAATGCTTAAAACATTGTACAAAAGTGAGATAGTGATAATATATACATCATTTTATAGCCATTGATTTATATTATGATTTATATTGTATGATTTAAATCATGATTTAAATCATAGATTTAAATCAATTGATTTTAATCAATAAAAGATGGTAAAGTGTATTGTGTTCTTATTATTTGTATAACTTACCTTAATAGTGTAACATAGTGTCCTTTACTGTTATTCAGTTGTATTGCTTGATGTGTTAGTAGTATTTAGTTGTATTTAAAAGATGTTAATGTGTATTGTAAACTTATTATTAGTATAACTTACCATAATAGTGTAGTATAGTGTACTTTACTGTTACGCAGTTGTATTGCTTAATGTGTTAGTACTATCTACACATGTAATTGTATACCAAAGATCGTAATGTGCATAGTGCACTTATTATTTGTATAACTTACCTTAATAGTGTAGCATAGTGTCCTTTACTGTCACACAGTTGTATTGCTTGTTGTGTTAGTAATGTCTAATTGTATTCAAAAGATAGTAATGTGTATTGTGTTCTTATTATTTGAATATTTTACCTTGATAGTGTAGCATAGTGTACTTTACTGTTACGCAGTTGTTTTGTTTAATGTGTTAGTAGTATCTAATTGTATTTAAAAGACGTTAATGTGCATAGTGTACTTATTATTACAATAACTTACCTTAATTTTCATTTGTGTAGAGATTAACTGATTGATACTAACTGACTTACTTGTTGTGCATAGTCAAAGCTATAGTGAACTTTGACCTCCACTTCGTTCACTGGCTTTTTGATGGTTAAGTCCAGCTTTTTGATGGCATTATTAGTCCTCTTCAACACTTCCATGAAGTAATCCCTCTTCTGCCTTACAAGATCAATATGCTCCTTTGCAGCTACTGTTGCCTATGAAAACATAAACATTTTAGATACTCCTAACACATCAAGCAATACAACTGAATAACAGTAAAGGACACTATGCTACACTATTAAGGTAAGTTATACTAATAATAGGAACATAATACACATTAACATTTCTTGTATACAATTAGATACTCCTAACACATCAAGCAATACAACTGAATAACAATAAAGGACACTATGCTACACTATTAAGGTAAGTTATACTAATAATAAGAACACAATACACATTAACATCTTTTAAATACCATTAGATACTACTAACATATGAAGGAATGGTACTGTATGTTCATGTAGTATCATTATTCTTGAAAGTAATATGAAAATAACAAGTCAACTAATGACAAAGTTACTTATTAAGGGATAGCATTTTACAGGCAAGAATAATTACATTGTTAATGATAATAGATGTACATCAGACTGACGCTCAATCTCACACCCAGCATTCCTTAAAATTGCAGTGCTGTCTTGCACGTCCAGCATAAGTCCGTCATTGGCTTGATGCTGTAAATGTGGGGAACATGCTTTCTCCATATCCTTTTAAAGGAACTTTCACTGAGAGTATGTTCCCTACCAGCATCAGCATTTTGCAGGTAAACCATGTGTCGGGACACACTGGACGGCAATAGCTTGGCCTTCCCATAATCCCTCACTCCAGGTATCCTCCCTGGTAGTAAAATTGTGTAGCCTTCAGCATTGTTCTCCAAAAATGCTACCACATCTTTAATGCCTTCCACAGAAAGAGCATGACATGGAATGCG